TGACCTTTTTCTCCATCCCTATTTGTTTTGCTTTTCACATAAATGGAATCGAACAGTAAGTAGCCTTTTGAGTCTGACTTCTACTTAGCAAAATGCATGTAAGACTCACCCAAGCTGTTGGATGTATGTTTCATTAGTTTTTATTGCTGAGTAAGATTCCATTTTACAGATAAACTACAGTTTCTTTATCTATGCACCAGTTGAAGGACATCCTTCAGTTTTATGTTCCTCTATTGTTAGTGGTCTATAGGTCTAGTAAAGGGCAGAGGTGAGATTTTCCACCTAATAGGAAGCAGTTCCTTATGAAAAGTCCAGCTTAGAAGTATTTCCTTGGTAACATGTGTAAGAGGCTATACCAGGATAAATTACTTCTTGTCCCTTAAGCTAAATTTAACATGGATAATTAATCCTAAGTGAGTAGTATATCAAAGTAATAGAAGTTTGTCCTGAGTATAGTTAGATGATATCCTTGGAGTAGACCTCACAAAGATTCTGGAAGCCATGCTATTGGCAGAGTTTTTAAAAAAATTATTTTAGTTTAAAAAATGCTGAAAAAAAGTAGAAATTACCCCAAATCATACCACTTAAAAAATTTTACAAAATCAAAATTCCCTTTCATCCAATTCAATCCCAATTTCCTAAAGTTTTACAATTTGGTCTTTATGTTTCCCAGCTTTTCCCTAAATTTATTCATAAATCTCTCTCTATATATAGCATACATATATGAATGTTTCTGCTTAAAAAATGTATTCATACTGTACATATTTCTGCATCTTGCTTTTTAACATAATATAAAAGTTTGAACACGAGTACAGGTCAAAATATATTTATGGATACACTCCACTATTTTAATGACTGCATAGTATTCTACTAAATGGATGTGCCATAAGTTACCCATTTTCCTACTGATGGACATTTGGGTTATATCCAACTTCCTACTTTTGTGACAGTTTTGAGATATAATTTACAAACAATTCATCCACTTAAAGTATACAATTCATGATTTTTAGTATATTTAGAGTTGTGAAATCATCACCACAATTTTAGAACACTTTCATCAACCTCTAAAGGAACCCCATGCACTTCAGCTCTTACTCCTAGCCTTTTCCATTCCCCTCAACCTGCCCCAGCCCTATGCAACCACTAAACTACTTTCTATCTCTATTTGACAACTCTGGACACTTCATATAAATGGAATTATATAATATGTAGTCTTTTGTGATTGGCTTTTTTCACTAAGCATATTCTCAGGGTTCTTCCATGTTGTCAAATGTGTCGGAAATGCTCCCTGATCTACTTTTGGAAGAGTCTGTGAAGAATTTGTATTAATTTTTCTTTATTTTTTTATTTTTAAAATGGGAATTTGCCCATTTCATCTAGGTTACTTACTGACATGCAATTGTTCATAATATGGCTTCATAATCCTTTTTATTTCTACAAGGCCAGTAGTAATGTTCCCTCTTTCATTTCTGATTCTAGTAATTTCAGTATCCATTTTTCCTGGTCAATCAAGCAAAAGGTGTATCAGTTGTGCTCATCTTTGTATAGAACCAAATTTTGGTTTCATTGATTTTTCTGTACTGTTTTTCTATTTCATTTATTTCTGATCGATCTTTATTTATTTCCTTCTTTCTGCTTGTTCTGGGTTTAGTTTACTTTTTCCAGGACCTTAAGGTATAAAGTGCAGTTATTGTTATAATCTTTCCTCTTTTTTAAGTATAGGCACTTATACCTATAAATTTTCCTCTAAGCATTACTTTACCTGCATCTCATAAGTTTGAGTATGTTGCGCCTTCAATTTCATTCATCTCAAGGGATTTTCCAATTTCCCATGGGATTTTCTTCCTTGACACATTGGTCATTTAAAAATGTGTCTGATTTCCACATATTTGTGAGTTTCCCAACTTTCTGTTACTGATTTCTTTTTCTTTTTTTTGAGTTGGAGTCTCACTCTGTCGCCCAGACTGGAGTGCAGTGGCCGCTCCCAGCCATCGCATCCTCGACCTGCTGGGCTCTGGCGGTCCTTCCGCCTCACCCTTCCAAGTAGCCAGAATTACAGGCATGCACTACCACGCCCGGCTTATTTTTTGATTTATTGTAGAGATGAGGTCTTGCTGCCCAGGCAGGTCTCGAACCCGCGAACTCAGGCAATCCACTCACCTCAGGCTCCCAAAGGTGCGGGATTACAGGCTGAGCCACAGAGCCCGGCTCTCTGTTACTGATTTCTAATACTATTCCATGTGGTCAGATAACATGTTTTGTATAATTTCACAGCCACTTATATTTATTAAGGCTTGTTTTATGGCTTAGCTTATAACCTATTTTGAGCTGTTTCATATCTACTTGAGAAGAATATTCTGATGCTGCTGGGTGGAATGTTCTATAGATATCTTTTAGGCCAATTTGGCTTATTGTATTGTTCAAGACTTTTATTTCCTTGTTTATCTTCTGTCTAGTTTCATCTATTATTGAAAATGGGTTATTAAATGTTCAACTATTTTTATAGAGTTGTCTATTTCTCCTTTCCTTTCAGATTGTGCTTCATGTATTTTGAGGCTTTGCTATTAGTTGCACATTTGTTTATAACTGTTACATCTTCCAGATGGATGGACCCCTTAATCAATATAAAATGTCACTTTTATCTCTAGTAAAGTTTTTTGTTTTAAAGTCTATTTTGTCTGATATTAGAATAGCCACTGCAGCTTTATTATGGTTGCTGTTTGCATAGTGTATTTGTTTTCCATCCTTTTACCTTCAATCTCTTTGCATCTTCTAATCTAAAGTATGTCTCCAATAAACAGCATGAAGGTGAATCTTATTTTTTTTCTAGTCTGACAATCTCTACCTTTTCAAAGAATTGTTTAATCTATTTACATTTACTGCTATTATTGATATGGGAAGATTTATGACTGCCATTTTACTGTTTTCTACATGCCTCAAGCTTTTTTTGTTTGTTTCTCCATTCCTTCTTTAGCATTATTTTCTAATGTGATATTTATATTTGTTAATATTTTTCCTAATTCTTTTTTGTTGTTGTTGAGTTGGAATCTCACTCTGTTGCCCAGACTGCCGGCCACCACAGCCTCAACCTGCTGGGCTCAAACTATAGGCGCGCTACCACGCCCGGTTAATTTTTTTGATTTATTGTAGAGATGAGGTCTCACCAAGTTACCCAGGCGGGTCTCGAACCCGTGGGCTCAGGCAATATTTTTCCTAATTCTTAAATTTATTTCCTTAGTGGTTGCTCTAGGGCTCACCATACACATCTTAACTAAACTGAATAGGTTTCACATATATACCTTAATTCCAGTGATATATAACAATCTTATTGCTATATAAACCTATTGCTTCCCCCAATTTTGTGGCACTATTGTTATACATATTTCTATAGTTGTTTTAAACCCAACGTATGTTGCCATAATTATTACTTGATGTAATTTTACATATTTAAAAGAAGCTGAGAGAAGAAAGAACAAGTACATATTTATAAATTTTAAAGATTAACCTTCTTATTTCCCATTTCCTGTTCTCTTCATTTGTTACTGTAGAGTTGAGTTATCATCTGGCATCATTTCTTTAATACAATGCAGTTTTGCATCCACCCACTTTCTCTGGCATGTTATTGGCAAATATATTACATTTTATATGCTGTAGGTCAAACGATTCAACTATATACAAATTGTTTTATAAAACTGATTTTTAAATTAGTTAAGATAAGAAAGAATAATGCATAGACTATCTTTGATAATTACATAATTATCTTTGCCTGTGTTCTTTGTGTGCGTAGATTCAAATGACTGTCTGAGGTCATTTGCTTTCAGCCTGAAGAACTTCCTTTAGTATTTTCTGTAAGTCAGGTCTGTCAGCAACAAATTCCCTCATTTTTGATTACATGGGAATGTTTTATTTCATCTTCATTTTTGAACAACAGTTTTATTGCATATAGATTCTTGGTTGATGGTTATTTTCTTTGAGCATTTTGAATGTTATCCCACTGACACTGCCATTGCTTCTGATAAGGAGTGAGCTGTTAATCTTATTGGGGTTCCCTGGTAAGCGATGGTTCATTTTTCTTACTTGCTGTCAAGATTTTCTTTTTGTCTTATGGTTTTAGCATTTTTCTTGTGATGTGTCTGTGAATTTCTTTTTATTTATCCTAGTTGGGGTTTGCCAAGCTTCTGGGATGTATATATTAATGTTTCTCATCAAATTTGTGGTGTTTATAGCCTTTATTTTTTGGAATATTTTTCTGCTTCTTTCTTTCTCTTTTTCTGGCATGCCTATCACACATATGTGGCAACGCTTAATGGTGTTTCACAGGTCCTATACACTGTTCATTTTTACTCATTATTTTTTCTCTTTGTTCCTTAGCCTGGATGTCATCTCAGTTAATCCTCACAACTCAATGAGGTAAGTAGCATTATTATCCTCACTTTATAAATGAAATAAGTAAGGCTCAGATTAAGTGACTTACCAAGGTCACAGAGTATTAAGTGTGGCTGTGAGTTTTAAACAGAGGCCTAACTCCAAAGTCTGTATCACCTTCTCTATACTATGCTGTCTTTTTATTCTCCAGCAATGATAAAGAAACAACTGGCATATTTAAGACTTCTTGCTTCCTCTCTTCTAAAGAACACTTTCTTTTCTCTTGCTTTTGGTATTCTTTGCTAGGATGTTACTCTTCTAAAACTCATATGTGTAATATTTAACATATTAGACACTGATTAAATATTTATTGCTTTGAATTCAATGATTACTCAATGGTAGTTAGCTTAAATGGCCATAAGAACACTGATATTTTGATCTAAAATATTTCATTAGAAAAATATATAACTTGTTGAAGACTGATAACTTAGTGGTGAAGCATTCATTAAATATGCCATACTGACTTATGGAAGTACTTAGTGATTATAGTTTTGACTTAACAGCATTTGTTGATCCTTAGGCCTGGGGTCTTGCTCTTTTATTTACCACATAGATAAAATTAGGGACAAATAGGCTCTAGTAAATAAATATTTCAATATTTAATTCATTTCTTAGTTGTGTATATAGGAGGTGGTCTTGGCAAAAATGTTACCTCTAGGGACAAATGTCGAAGACCCTAAAAAAACTATAAAGATTTAAAAAAAATCCTCAGAAATAATCCTTTGTAATTCATCATGAGAAAATAGTACTCTTTGTATTTTACCCTTCATACTTAGCATACTGTCTGTTCTATATAAACTTTGATTACAGAAATTTTTTTCTACCAATTCTCTCCAAAAGCTGAAAGAGATTGTCCTAATTATGTTTTTCCTCTCTCAGTTAGTTCTTCTTCAACTCGAAACAAGTTGCTATCTATACATAAATCTTAGATTCAAGATTCTGACACAAGAAAGACCATCCAGGACCCACAATCTATATATCTTCTAACTACCACTGATTTCTGTAGTGCTATTTGTAGCACATGATACGAGAGAAGCAGCTTGGAGATCTGATCGTTGCTTTTTGTTCTTTCCAAACTCTATCACCAATACTTTCCCACGTAGATTATATCCATTTACTAGATGCAATGCTTGCTGTGCTATCTCCTTATCTAAAGAGAAAGAAAAAAATATTAATTTACATAGGACTTAATAATTAAATTCTATTGCAAGTCTAGTTTAGGTTGTTTTGCCTTGGAGTTAAATGTAAGCTATAAGGCCATACAGTCATTTGATTTTCTCATCTTTTCTATAATCTCCAATTTTGTTCAATTCTGCAAGATTAAATTAATGGTTAAAAACAAAGACAATAAAAACTCAAAATAAATGTTGGAGGGTATCACCTAATTCAAATATATAGGTCAAGAAACAAGGATATAGGCAGTGTGCCAAAGAAGTCAAAGCTATTACTAATTATACACAAGACTATCTTGGATAACAGATTATAGGTATTGTGAGAATCAAATCATTTTCAAAACTGATAACACAAATAAAAGTAGTTATCATGTTACTGGAGAACTTTGCTACTTTTTTCTTACAGAAGAAGAGTGGTTCTTGGAGCCTTTATTGGGACAAATAAGTTTAAGGACCCTTGTAGGCATATAGAAGCTTGAAGTGTGTATATACATTGTATAGCAGGAGTAACCAACACATGGGTCTAAGAGCCTGGATGTGGGAAATAAGGAAGGTGTGGATTATGGTCAGGAGTCTGCAGAATCATAAGCAGACAAATTCTTTAGACTAAACCAACTTTTGTTTCATATATATTTTCTACAAATTTTCAAAAGCGCATAGCTGCTATTAAAATTACTAAAACATCTATACATTTAAAACTACTTAGTTTAGAAAGCCTTTTTAATGCATTTTTCAATTAATGGATTGTATTAGTGGGGGTCCATGAAATATTTTTTAAATTTAAAAGGGGTTTTCACACTTGAAAAGACTGAAAATCATTGGTATAGAGGATTTTAAAACCTTCAGTAAGATAGGAAAGATAGTATGGGACTGTATGAAAACAATGGAGGGGGGGTTGGCAATACTTATGTATAAAAATACTTGACTGCACATAGTTTAGTAGGCTATTTAGAAATGATGACAGTTTAGGGACAAAGAAAGCTATAGATCCTACCCAGCTGCCCCCCAAAAACATATTATCTGATCTGTCATAGAATCTGAATTTCCTATATTATTCATCCTCTGAATTGTATTATCAAAGCCATGTATTAATATGCAAAGTATATTTAGGGGAATGTATCATCATCCACTAATTGTGAATTACTAATAAATTAGTATATTAGCTTGTAGTCACTTAGTCCTAAAGGAACGGGCATAAGAAAATTATACATGTTCCAATCAAAATACCAATGTATTAGTTAATGAGTAATCGAATTGTAAGGTGAACTATAAATACTATTGTCAGACAAGGGAAAGTAGATTTTAGTAATAAGAAGGAAGTATCTAGATTGGAGAAAATCGAGGACATTGGGGTAAGGTGGTCGTGTACTGTCAATGGAGGAGAGGAAGCACAGAAAGGGGGAAAGAGCCACACTGAAAATATATTTTCTTTACCTTTCTTCCCTTCTTCTCATGTGCTGTGGAGAAATCAAAGGGCTATATCTAGATCAGAGAAGTTATAGGTAGTCTCTAGTGAACTGAAGCTGCAATCGAGGAATTATCTAGATGAAACTACTTACTGGGAAAGGTAATGAAAGCCTGGCCCCTCATTCGTCCAGTCATCATTCGGAATTGAATTGCAGGTCCTTTTTTCTCCTGGAACCGAGCGAACAATGAGACAAGATCTCTTTCAGTCACCCGAGGGCTAAGGTTCTTCAGGTATAATACCTAATACAAATTGAGAATCAACAGAAATATCACATGAGTGGTAAGTCAACTCTTTCATTATGGTTAGAATTAGTTTCAAATAAGAAGTAAATTGAATGCATTCATTTAATTTCATTCCATCCTTAAAGCTCTTTAAAACTACAGGACTTTAAACACACACACACACACACACACACACACACACACACACACACACACCAACAAAGTCAGGAAGAACAAGAAAAAGAGGCAATAGCAATCATACTCCAGAAGCCAGAAAATAATTGGGTGACTAGGAACCAACTCAGTACACTCAAGAAAGTGGAAACTTAAACCAGCAGTGAGGATAGCCAAGAACCCATCCAGTCTCTACTTAAGAATCCTCAAATAGTTCAGGAACTGACAGCTTCAAGTATGCCTGGAAATAAATGTGAAGGGATGAAGTTAAAATAAGGTGGGTAGGTTGGAGGCTGTTAAAAATTAATTTGATCTTTAAACACCCTCCCCCACAATATGACACAGAGTAAAGGCAACTCGCCAATCCTGGTAGAATATTGGAGGCTCACTGTCAGAAGATGAAGAATGTCATACATAGTTGAAGATGTGACTGTTTCTGAACTTTCAATCAGCTTTTTAGTTCCTACTCATAAATTTGAGCATGGATTGTCAGGTATCTGAGGAAATTCTCTAATGTGAAAGACAGAGAAAAAAAAACAAATAGAAAAGAGAGCAAATTAAAGAAAACAAAAACCATGGAGGGAGGAAAAATCTTCAAAGCACCATAACTGATATTCTTAGAAAATTAACAGAAAATAATCTATTAGGAATGGAATGCTATAATAAAAAATTCAAGAGAACAAAAAAGCACTCATGTATATGTGACTAAACTTAAGTTATCAGCTGAAAACAGACTGTTATACTATAAGATGTTTTATGTATGTCCTGTGGTAATCACAAAGAAAATACCTATAAAAGATATACAGAGGAAAATTAGAAATAAATCAAAGCATGTCACTATAAAAAAACCACAAAGGTAGACAGCTAAGAGTGAGAGACAAAAGAGCTACAAGACAGAATATATTTGACAAATGACAGTAATAAGTCCTTTGCCATCAATAATTACATTAAATATAAATATATCAAACTCTCCAAAAGACATAGAGTAGCTGAATAGATAAAATAAATAATATCCAACTATCCAGCTATCTAAAAGAGACTCAGTTGTAAGGACACACATAGACTGACGGTGAAAGAATTGAAAAAGATATTCCATGTAAATGGTAGTCAAAAGTGAGCAGAGGTGGCCATACTCATCATATCAGACAAAATAGACTTTGAGTCAAAAACTACCACAAGAATTAAAGAAGGACATTATATGATGACAAAAAGTCAATTCATCAGGAAGATATAACAATTGTAAATATATATGCACTCAACATCAGAGCATCTAAATATATGAAGCAAACAAGGACAGAACTGAAGGGAGAAACAAACAGCATCACAATAATAGTAAGAGATTTCAATACACCACGTTCAATAATGGATAGAATCTCTGAACATAAGGCCAATACTGTAAAAAAGCAGAGGACTTAACACTATACATCAAATAGACCTAACAGACATACAGAACATTCCACACAACAGCCAGAATAGCCATTCTTCTTAAGTGTACATGGATCATTCTCCAGGATAGATCATATGTTAGGTCACAAAACAAGTCTTAACAAATTTTAAAAAATAGAAATAAAACTAAATATCTTTTAGACTACAATGAAATAAACCTAGAAATCAACTGAAGAAAACTGGAAAATTACAAATATGAGAAAATTAAAAATTATACTCTTGAACAACCAATGGCTCAAAGAAGAAATCAAAAGGGATGTTAAAAAATATATTAACACTGTGGCGCAAATGGTGCCACCGCCACCACTGCTGCCGCAGCCCCTCCCCCCACCGCCACTGCTGCCACTGCTGCCGTGGCCTCCGTGACGGCTGTAGCACATCACACCACCTGGCCCCAGGCGATCCACATCAAACACCTTCAGGGAAGATCTGCTGGGATCGCTGCCACCTCTCCTGCGACCGAGACTGTCCTGCCCACTGGAAGGCTCCTGTTGCCTGCCCTAAGGCAGGCAGCCATCTTGTTCCTGTCCGGCCCCACCCCCTCTGGGGTGAGCAGCTAAGATAGCACCACCTGCTGGTGATTCAAGGTAACAACACCGAAATGGGAGAAACAAGCTTGATAAAGACATAGACCAGAGTGCTGAATGGAGGGTAATCTGAACTGTCCTTCACAGCAGACCAGGGGCAACTGACCCTAACTGCAAACTAATTTACCAGCTTGAAAAGAAAACTAGAAATCAGACCTGAAAGGACATTGGACTTAAACGAAATGTCTCAGAGTGTGCTTCATTGATTCTATTAGTTTAATGACTTAATTCTATTCCTACTGTATTGTTCCCTTTTTTCTTTTTTCCTTTTCCTTTTCTTCTCTCTGTAAACCATATCTTTGTATAGAGGAACTGCACACTAATAAGGTGGTCGGTTAGCTTGTATGTTAGCATCACTATATGTTTTATTTTTATTTTTTATTTTTTGTATGAGAGTCAGTT